GCATATGCGGCACTTACTGTCTGTTGCTGTCTTCTCAATTTTGACTTTGTATGCATTTGTCCTTAAGGCTTGGTCTTGTGCAGCCAGAATTAGTCCCTCGGTCTCTTTCTTCAATTTTCCTTCTCTTAGCCATTGCCAGTTTTTATTATTATCTGCTTTCCCAGCTATTTTTTTCATGTATTGGCCATGTAGTGCTTTGTCTTCCCATGCCTCTATTCTGTTCTTCATTTGGTCTTTCTTGTAGGCCACTTTGGTCTCTCCAGTAGTTAGTAAACCTTCCTGATATACTAATTTCAGTGCATCTTCATCATTGTTCTTCAGATATTCTTCCAAAGCCATTTTTTCTTCTTCAACCATCTGATGTACTTGTAGCATTCCACGCCCACCTATTTGCCTTGGTAGATAAAGTCTATCAATGTCACTGCGTGGATGAAGGGCATGATTCATTGTCATTATTTTTCTGGTCTGCCTATCCATTGCTTTTAGTTCTGCTTGAGTCCAGTCCACTATTCCAGCTGTGTACCTAATGACTGGGATTGCCCAGGTGTTGATTGCCTTTATGGTATTTCCTCCATTGAGTTTGGACTTTAAGATCTTCTTCACTCTCTTGATGTATTCACTTCTAATCTTTTTCTTGACTTCAGTGTGCTTGATGTTGTCAGCTTGAAGGATACTCAAGTATTTGTAGTACTCTTCCTCATCCAGACTCTTAATGTTATTTTTGTGGGCCATCTTGATTCCTTCAGTTTTCACTATTTTTCCTTGTTTGATAGTAAGTGTGGCACATTTGTCCAAGCCAAACTCCATTACAATATCTTGGCTATATATACGGACAGTGTTGAGCAGCGATTCTATTTCAGATGATATTATTATTATTATTATTATTATTATTATTATTATTATTATTATTATTATTATTATTATTATTATTATTAATTGAGGTTCCCCAGTCTGAAGCTTCTGTCCCATTGAGAGCACTGAAGCAGTGCAGTAGACTCTACCATCCTATGCCATGTAGGCCTAATCCAATATTAAATTTATTAGAATAGCTACAGATCCTCCCATTCTTCAAGGCTATTCCCTGTGCCTTTACATAGGAGGTTGTGAATTAGTAATTAACAAGGGCTAATTCTGAAAGCATCACTCCTGTCAAGGCTGCTCAAATTAGGGCCTTTAGCCTTCATCTTAAGACATTATTATCATTAGGTCTGCAGCCAATTACTATTGCGGAACATTTTCCTCCAGTGTCTCCAGATCTCCCTAATTCCTGTGTTATCTGGCACCGGATTGCTGATATAGTCCTTACTCTGTAGTCTTCCTAATTAACTCCTTGTTGGTGACGTTTTTAACTTATGACAGAGCTGAACAAGTGATAGTTATGACCAGTCGTCATACTTATGTAGATTGCAGTATCCCCCAGTCACATGATCACCATTTGCAACCTTCTTTGCCAACTTCCTGCAAGCAAAGTCAATAGGAAAGTCGGCAGGAGGTTGCAAACGTGACATCTTTGCTTAGTAACTCATAGAGGTTCACTTAACAGCAGCTGCTGGAAGTGCTGGAATTTCTGCTGCTGAAGTGATGTGGTCTTGTGACATTGCATTTTACAATTGTGTCAGGGTGATCTCAGAAGTGGACTTCTTGTACACAACTGTAGTCAATTTTATTAAATTTATAGGCTGCTGTCTCACTCTGCTGACAAAATTATAAAGATATTAAAAACACTCAATGTAAAGACAAGAAACAAAAAATACAAGATCAGGATGGTGTTAATCTTCTCAGTTAATCCACCAACCTCCTCCAATGTTGAGCACCTCTGTCAAGATCCCAGGCTAACTGGCAGAGCCAAGCTTTAATGAGTAGGGGCAGGCTTAGAGATATTCCATAGAGTAGGGGTCATGGCAGAAAAGGCTCTCCTTCTAGACCCCATTAGCCAAAACTATTTGACAGCATCTGCAACATGCCCCTTCTGCCAGACTGAGTAGAGAGGGCCAATACTATTGGGCCAAAACCATTATGACTTCTGGATTGTCCTCATCCTTCTCATTGCCTCCTGATGGCTTCAAAAATACTCTTTTGGTAGGATTCCCATTCCGGAAGGAAAAGACTGACTTCAGACAAGTTGTTCCACTGATTCCCTCTGGGCTGGAGAAACTTGATGGTAAATATGACTTAATTATTAGGAGAAAAATCACCCACTCATCATAGGAAGGGAAACTCCATTTTTGTTTAACTTTTCCTACAAAATCACCTTGGTATGTTGCCAAGGTGATTAGAACTGTAAGAGGAGGCAATGCCTCCCTTTGTGTGTTTCATTGTGCTTTGGAAATTTGCTTTATCTATTCATTTGCTGTGACTCACAAATAACACTCCTATCCCAGTTGGAGGGAAGATGGGATTCGCCATGACAAGAACCAGGTTGTCGATGCCTGTGTTCTGATATCCGATAGAAGAAAGTAGAAAGCATCAAGTTAAAAACATTGCTTTTTGTGCACAGAGACATAGAGCTCTTTCTTTAGGTATTTTGCTTTCATCCAACTTCCCACAATTTCATAATTCATGCTTTAATTTACTTGCCTTCATCTCATTTTGTGTTTCCTCTTTTGCATTTTCTGTGTGTGTTATTTTAATATAAACTATCTATCTAAAGCTGATTTAAGGGGAAACGAGCAATTGGAAGATTAGAGATGGCAGCCTGATTATTGCAATGATCAAGATCTTGAAGCAGTAGCAAAGGTATTTTAGAAGGAAGTATTAGACAGCTAGTAATTAAAGTTATGCTAGAACCTTGAGAGAATACCATCAAGTAGTTAAGCCAAGGGCTAAATCAGATTGATTACAAATAGTCCACTAAATGAGCAACAGTTCACTTAGTGACCGTTTGAAGTTACAACACCACTGAAGAAAGTGACTTATTACTGGTTTTCACACCTACAACCCTTGCAGCATCCCCATGGTCATGTGATTAAAATTCAGGTGCTTGGCAACTGACTCATGATAGTTGCAGTGTCCTGGTGTCATGTGATCATCTTTTGTAACCTTCTGACAAGCAAAGTCAATGGGGAAGCCAGATTCACTTAGCAACTATGTTAAAAACTTAACAGCTGCAATGATTCATTTAATACAGATATGTCAAACTCACATCATGTGACGTTGCGCAACATATCGGGACGGTTTTGCCATTGCCGGCAATGGGGTGGGCGCAGCTTCCGGATGACGCGTCTGGCCGCGGGCTGGCAGTTTGACACCCGACTTAATACCTGTGGCAAGAAAAGTCAGAAAATGGAGCAAGATGGTTGTAAAGTGAGTTTTGCCCCATTTTACAACCTTTTTTGCCACTGCTATTAAGTGAATCACTTCAGTTAAGAACATGGTTGTTAAATGAATCTGGCTTCTCCATTGATTTCGCTTGCCAGAAGGTTGCAAAAGGTGATCACATGACCCTGGGACACTGCAACCATCATAAATATGAATCAATTGCCAAGCATCCAAATTTTGATCACGTGACCATAAGGATGTTGCAAAAGTCATGAGTGAAAAATGATCAGTCGCATTTTCCAGTGCCGTTGTAACTTCAAATGGTCACTAAATGAACTATTGTAAATTGAGGACTACCTGTATACCTTTCTTATCTATTCCACCCTTGGCATTTGATCTTATCTGGAACATGCTCCAATGTATTCAGCAACACGTGGCAGACATCTTATGAGTTCGGAAACTCAACTCAATTAACATAGCTAGTATTTGGATGGGAGACTGCCAGGACTATAGCGAGAGATTGGGAAGTTGAGAAAAACATTCCCAAAGTAGGCCCTGGCATATTACTTGTCCTGGTACCAAAGAAACTACTTGGATGTGCTGGTGAAGCCACCACGAAAGGGTTGTTACCTGCATGAGCTTGTGAACCTATTCCAGGGACTGAGGCAGCCAGTTATTTTGGAAGTAATTAAGAATGACCCATATTTTATAGCAGGGGTGTTAAACTGCCGGCCCGCGGGCCGGTTTCATCATACCAAAGCCACGCCCACCCCATTGCTGGCAATGCAAAAAGAGTCGGGATATGTCGTGACACGTCACGTGACATGGCAAGTTTGACACCCGTGCTTTATAGGCTCTTGAATAAAAGGTTTTATTTTTACTTAATTGTACCTGCACACTTGCTCTTGTACAGTGACCCAGAAACATGAAAATCATCTTTGATACAGTATGGCATATAAATCACCTTCTAACAACTGGTTGTATTTTTGAGATCTCTAAGATTACACCACTAAAAGAGCCAAACTGGCTGGCTTAATTTAGCCTGTTATGCAGATAATTGATGGCTGTTCTCAGACTTGCATAAAAGCAGAAGATCCCAGCTCCAAATGGGAGGGTGCTGGGCACATCTGAGCTCTTGCAAGGATCTAGGAACTCACTGCCTCCAAAATGGAGCACATTCTAGACTATTAAACTACCTTATGCTTCTCCCCCTTTAGATCTGTAAATAAAAATTACACTTCCCAGAATAAACCAAACTGAGCAACAGCCTGACTTTTCCACTGCTGTGTTTTACATTGAAGTTGCATTTAAACTTCTAACAGGAAATTGCCACACGTTAAGTCCGGTTGATTATAAACCAGCGAACCCCTCTTCCAAGGAATTCCCTTCTTGTTAAGCCCCTTTCCCCCATCTTTGCCGAACGGCTGGATTGAGACCCCCACCCCCCACCCCGACCACGGCAGCTGTGGTCCTGCGCATCCAGAAGGCACCAGGTTGGGGAATGTCGCTCTACCTCCCATCTGGTAAAGCCTTTTAACTCTGTATTTGAAGTAAGACCGTTTTTCTGAATTAAGCCATTCGGGCGCCGGCCTCGGTGACCTGACTATGATGTGGGGCGAAGAACCACTTTCGTCTATGAACCGCTCAATGACCTCAAGCTGAAGCGGCCGGCGAAGGTTCCCCCCTCCCCCCCCCTCCAACCCCGCCAGCCAAAGGCACCGCCTGGAAAACGCTTCCGAGCTCCAGAAAGCCCCAGATTCCCCTCCGGGCGCGCGCACGGAAACGCTCCGCCTCCCGCGGAAGCCCTGGCCAACCAGGAGCCTGCTGGGCGGGGCTCCCGGCTGTACACAGCCACCACGTGCAGCTGGGGTGGGGACTGGCAGCCGCCAAGCATCCGAGGAGGCAGAGTCAGCAGCGGCGACGTCGAGAACCTTGGCTCGAGGTTCTTCGAGCAAGGAGTGGGTGGGTGGCCGTCGGGAGGAACTCGGCAATCCTTTCCACTTGCTCCATCGCCCCTTCTCTCCTCCTCCGCTCTCTTTCTCGGGGATCTTAACAAAATAAAACGTCGCTCCCGCCGTTGCAAAGTTAGATCTATACCGATGAGAAGTTAGCTGTAGCAAGCGAGCAAGGTTGCCAGCCACCTGGCTGGAGGGTCCATCCTCTCGCTGTCTCCCCCGCTGCAGATGGAGGCGACCGAATACTTGGTCGCTGCTGCTGCTGCTGCTGCGACTGCAGCACCGGCGATTCTCTTCTTTTCCTGGTGACGGAAGCAAACGGACTGAATCTGGGCTGGGGGTGGTGGGTGGAGTAATCGTTGAGATTCAGAGGAAATCAGCCGCGCTGGTTGGATCAAACAGCATAGCCGACCTTAGCAAAACACACATACACACACGGCTGCGCAAGGTTGGTTGGCTGCCCTGGATCATCCTTGCAGAGATTCTGGTTTCTCTCGCTCACCTTCCGAAAACCCGGCACTTGCTGCGGGATCCGAAAAAAACGGCTTCCATGGCGTCTATACGGTTGAAGTTGGCGTGCAGGCGTGTTTTGTAATCTGCGGCTGCCACCATCCAACGCGACGAAACGGACTGCAGGGCGTTGGGAAAAACAAAGCAAGAAAACCGGGTAAGAGAAACGCTTGCACACGTTTCAGATGCTCTTCAGCGGGATCCTGTTTTTAGGTAACCAAAGTTTTATTCCAGTTATGCCCCCCCCCCCTCCTTGAGGAAAAAAAAATAGTTCCCGTGAAGTGTAGTGATGATTTCTGGGCACGCGCAGAGGAGCTTCTCCCTCCCCACTGATCGTGAGGCGTCTTGCGTGGTGGAGTTCATCTCCAAGGCGAAGGTTCATTTATAGCACGTGCGGCGTGCCAGGCTTTGAGCTAGGCGACCTTCCCCACGAAACGAGCATCCAGGGCAGCAGAGCCAAGGAGGTGGAGAGAAACGTCATTTTAAAGCCTGGCCTGGACGCGTGTGCTTATTTTCCTGAGGATCTTTGAATTGCAATAGCTTACAACAACCTTTATCAATTGGGCCATCATTGTCCCCAGAGGTCTAATTGGGGAAGAGACTGATCCTGAATAAGGGAGCTTGCCTGAGGCCTCAGTCTAGATAAGCATTTATTGGGGGAAAGCAAGACTTCTTGACTGACCATTTTATTCTGAGAGCAAAAATATTGTTGGATCTTGGTACTGGCCATTCAGAAAGTGCCTTTATCCCCAAATGGTAACAATGAATTATGACAGCTAGTCTTGCTATCACTTTAATGCTGGAGGCTTCCTGCAACTAGAAAGAGGAAGAGTGGGGGAGCTTGCAGAAAGAAACATATCCTAATTCTCCCTGTAGTTAATATGAGGGAACAGTCCTCAAGAAAGTTTTCCAGTTTATTCTCCACAGGGACTGGCCCAGGAGAACGTCTCCACTTTGTCATCTTTAATGGCTTCTCAGTTCTAAGCACATGGAAAAAATCAGCAATAGAAATCCAAGCTTATGTTTCATTTTGCTGTGGGATGACTGCATGGCCTATGGGGAGCTGCACAGTTTGAGTTCTGTGAACCTGACAACATAAGCCACTTCATAAGGCAATAAAACACTTGATGAATTAAAAGCTCTACCAAACTGATAAATGGCCATTGCTTTCAAATTCTCCTGGGTAAATCAAGTTAACTTTCTAAAACAGAGAGCACTCCATTTGAAAATAAATTCTGAATTCTGCTTCCTAAACCCCCCAAAAGTAGGAATAAACTCTGTTTAATTAGCCTATTCATATTCACAGCATAAAGGTAACAGAATAAGCACCTATATTGTATAACATTGGCTCCTGGAATGTAGCAAGCCATGGCCTACTTAACTATGATTTATTAAATTATGCTTAAATCAAAACCAAGCCAAACACAAAGCAATATCATGCATGAATTCAATCTGTTTCTGTTCTGTTTTGTTCCACTGGCTAAGGCAAAAATAGAATTGAATCATAGAGTTCAGGAGAGCTGTCTAGTCATTAATCAGCCTACATACCTTCCTCTCTTATTCCCTTCATGTTCCCAGCTCTTAGGCTTACTTGTCTAAACATCATTTGCTTTACTAAAACCAAGACTTGTCATAGATTAAATAGACTCAGCATGTGTTGGAGTCATTGACAATTTCCCTTTAGGTATAAATGGGGATTTCAGTCTATGTAGCTATAGCTTGTTCAGCTTAACCAGATTTGGCAATCTTTAGCAGAAAGCTTGAATTGCAATTGTTGACACATAATGTCAGTGTTTATGTTATAAAAAAACTTTCCTCCAGAAAGCATAGGAATAAAACAGGTTGCTGATTGATTGGTGACCCAGTATTGTGACTTAAGGATTATGAAATTTGTAATTAAATCTTCTTAAGTGCTACTGCTTGTCCATAGATTTGCAACTGGATATAGAGGATTGCCCATGAAATATACCAACAGTTAAATAGTTTTCATGGATACATCACATGAATAAGCAAATGCCACGCTTTCCCTTTACAACTTTAAGTTGGGAGGTTGGTCCATTTCCTAGGAGGTGTCAGTCCTTGGCATTAATTTGCACACTTTCAACTCTTCAAAACTTTGTGCAAGGCTGTAATCTGTTACTTAGAATACAAATCATGATACAAGTGATCCTAATACTGGCTCACCAGCAGCCATCACAGTAAAATAAATCCTGCCCTCTCCTGTTCTGCCTCCCCAGGGGTACAACTTTTAGTTGAGGAGGGGAGAGATGACAGAGGGAGTTATTTCAATGTTCTGCTGTGCTGACGGGATTGCTCCTAACCCCAGTACTGAATATATTGAGTTTCCAGTGGATGTTCCTGAAAAAGTGGCATAGAGTTGTGTAAAGTTGTATTTTACCGGTATACTGGCTGTGGTCACAAGCATGCTTCATCAGTGCAAGGAAAGTATGTGAAACCTTCTGATTAATTCTAAGCTTGCTCATTTTTAGCAAGTGTGCTGTGCAGATCCTGCCCCCTCCCCCCCGCCAGTTTGTTCATGGATCAGTGAGTTATGGGAACTCCATAAATAGGTTAATCTTCTGGGACAGCAGTCAACAAGTCAGATTCTGGTCCATATAACTCAATTATATATCCTCTCGTTTTAGATAGCTTTACTTGATATTCCAGAAGTTACACATGGGACCTTTTGAATGCAACTCAGATGTTCTGTCATTGAGCCATGGCACTCAGCAAACTCCTTTTCCTGCTTCCCTTGATATAGCCTCAGTCAGTGCCCCACCACCACCACTCCCTGTGGATCAAAGAAGTTTCTGACTGGCAGGTTGAGGCTGGCCACCTCTTCCCCTATGAATGAAACGGCCAGGTTGAGGCTGGCCACCTCTTCCCCTATGAATGAAACGGCCTTGGAGGGGCTGCTCTCTCTCTCTCTCTCTCTCTCTCTCTCTCTCTCTCTCTCTCTCTCTCTCTCTCTCTCTCCCTGCTTCCCTCCAGTTCTTGGCAATCACAGCTGTCTTCCCTTTGGTTGCCAGGAAGTCTCTTGTCAGTATCTGGCCAGGATGGAGAGGGACAGCAAGGTGCCAGGAAGGGAACACGCACTTCCTGTATTTCCTTTACCCAGCTGCTTGCTCTCTTGCTCTCCCTCTTGCTCCCCACTTCCCCTCTGCCCCTTTGCTTTTCCGCTGCAGGGATGGCTTTCAAAGCCACCGTAGCAACATCCTGTTCTCTGGAGTCCTGAGGCATTCCTCACTGCTCGCTTGCTCTGTCTCACTGCCTGTGGTGGTCCCTTCTTCATTTCTCACTCCCTGCAGGCTTATGTGGATGCTTCCTTACTACAGAGCCACTTGTCTTCTGCTCCAGCACATCCTCTCCAGGGGAGTTGGATAGATTTGGAAATACCAAAGGAAGAACTTCTTCAGGCTGGCCATAAATGTAGTGGCTCTGCTCAACCTGCCAAGCTGAGGCAGTAACTCAAAAGAGCAGTTTATTTCAGATAAACAAGATAAACACTCTGGATTTACAGAGATGAAGTTTCATCCGGTAGCCTCTATAGTGGCCGTTCTTTGCTAAGCCACGCTAGGGGATACTGAGAGCAAAGCAGAGCAGCATCTGAATACAGCTAATTGTTTGGGGCAATTCCTTCATCAGACTTTTTCTTTTCCAGACCTTCTCCAGGAAATCCCAGGCTTGTTTGATGCCCTCATCTTGGTTTGGAAAGGCTGCAGCTCCTTCTCTTTTCTGCCAATAGAACAAAAGATGACTTCTGCTCACAATGTCATGTTCTGGGATGCTCCTTCCTTGCTTTTCTAGCAAAAACTGGACGGGGGACAAGACCATCTATATTTGCAGCACAATGTAGACATTTCTCTGGAGCAAGAACTTGGGATCTTCCAGTGCATTGTCCTGCCTTCTGGCAGAACCATCCCCTACTTGTGTACCTCTCTCTCTCTCTCTCTCTCTCTCTCACACACACACACACACACACACACACACACACACACACACATACACCCTTTTCAAGCACTGGAAGAGGGGGAACAAGCTAAGTGGCAAGCACAACTCCTCCTCTTGATGCATTGTTGTGACTGGGAAAATTCAGACACTATCCAGAAATTCTGCCGAGGTTGACCCAAGGCTTTGGACCAAGACAGTTCTGGCCACCTAAACTGTGGCTTACAGCCTTATGGAAGACCTGGGCAAGTCCACGCTGTGGCTGCAGGCCGAGCTGGCCTCTCCTTCTCCGTGCTTGCATATCCTTGATTGCCGCAGCCGAGACCTATATGATTCATCCCATGTGGAGCGGGCCCTGAGCGTAGCCCTCCCAGGACTACTTCTGCGCCGCCTTCGGAAGGGGAGCCTGGCAGTCCGGTCCTTGCTGCCTGAGCCCCCTCAGGGGCTCTGTGAGAACATGGTTTTGCTGTATGATGAGGGGACAATCCAGCTCCCTCGGCCAGACAACCAGGAGGAAGAAGAATCGGTGCTGCTCACACTCTTGCAGAAGCTCCGAGATGAGGGCTGCCTGGCCTACTACTTGCAGGGTAGGTGTGCAGAGTAAAGCTGTCTATGTGGGAGAAAGAAATAACTGGCCAATTCTAGCTTCTAGATTATTGACTGGTGCAGCAGAGTAAAGATGGAGCTGGGCCAAAATTGTGGTTGCTGGAATGCTCCCTTCTGAGGTTTAAAAATCCACTGATAAATTGGGGGATGAGGAAACAACTGGTTTTCCTCTGTCCTGCTTATTTGTTATCCTGCTTATTTGTTATCCTTCCCTGCCCTACTAGTGTGTACTTCCTCATCTTTCAACTGTTCAAATGGGTGAGATTTCAGGTGTGCCACAAAGGAAACGGGGGGGGGGGAATCCATTAGTTTGAATTAATGCAAACTTAATTTATTTTACTTATTTATATAAAACATTTATATAGCCACTCATCTTATAACCAGCTCTGGGCAGCTCCCGATCAAGAGTTAAAAGCACAAAAACCATATTATAAAATCCAAACACATTAAAAACAACAAAAAACTGGCACCAAATGAGACTTGTGATATATGCAATCACTTCATCTAATCCCAGCACCTGGAGGTAAAACCAAGACTTCCAAGTTTTACCATGTGGCAAGATGGAAGACTAATACATTTTACAACTAAATAAAATAAATATGGGGATAGAGCTTATCAAACTTCACGGGACAAAGTACCGTAATTTCCGGCATATAAGACGACTCGGCGTATAAGACGACCCCCGACTTCGGAGACAATTTGCATGCTTAGAAAGTCGTCTTATACGCCGGAAAATACGGTATTCAATAGGGCAAGGGTGACCGCAAAAATGGCACGCTTCCTAACTCCAATCAAATGGCATTATTTAGGGGAAGGCACTAGGAACATGCCCACCCTAGCTGACCTGAATTACATTTCCCTTATTGGCAAAGTCAGAACGATCTATTCTAGCAGCCCATGTCATGATGGCCAGCCAGATACATCTGGGAATTCATGACTAAGATCAAGAGCACAGTGTCATTCTCACATTTCTGCTCAGCTACGTTGCTGGAAGTGATATGTAGCCATCAGGATTAGTAGCCACCAACACAGTTAGTATCTATTTTTCTTCAATTGCCTTTCAAATGTTAGTAGGGTTGATGGCTTTCTTGCAGTTAGGAATTTCAGGTAATAATTAAATTCTGAATGAAGGTCTCATTGTTATTTCTTCCCTAATGTCTCACTGTTCATCAAAGGTGAAAATAACTTTTCTGTGCCCACTTGTTACAAGGAATTATTGTTCAGAGCTCAATTACATTCCCCATTATTTACTTTTTTTTAAGCTAGAAAATGATAGACACTGTAACTTATCAAACTCAACAATATCTTTTTCAAAATACAGTAACCAGATCCATGCACTAGGTTCCAAGCATACTCTCATAATTTGCTTATAAAGACAATATAGGCAGCCCTTGATTTGCAACCATTCATATAATGAAAGAAGTGGCTTATGACTATTTTTCACATCACCTTTTCAGCACCTATGGTCACATGATCAAAGTTTGAGTGCTTGGCAACTGGCATGTATTTATGACAGATGCATTGACCCGGGATCATGTGATGACCATTTCTAACTTTCCCAGCCGGATTCCAACAAGCAAAATCATTGGGAGAAGCCAGATTTGCTTAACAACCGTATGATTCACTTAACAACTGCAGTGGTTTGCTTAACAACTGTGACAAAAAAGTCATAAAATGAGGCACAACTCACTTAACAACTGCCTTGCTTAGCAACAAAAAACTGGGCTCAATTGTGCTCATAATTCGAGAAGTACCCATATTGGCATTTTAGTTTGGCCACTTTTATAAAGACCTCTATTTTGAAATTTGTATTTTTCACAATAGTTTGATCTATAGATTATTGATGGGTCATTAAAAATTTTTTAACAACTTCCCCAAAATCCCTTTCCTAGCCAGCGGCTACTAGATTAGACACCATCTACAGTAATCTATGGATGTACAGGTAGTCCCCAACTTACAACTATAGCTGAGCCCAGAATTACAGTTGTTAAGTTATACTGGTCATTAAGTAAGTCATCATGTGACTGTGCCCAACTGTGCAATCTTTTTTGCAGTGGTCATTAAGCGAAACTATTGTCTCCAATGAGTGTTTTTTGTAGGCAATTGGAAGTAAACACCAGTTTCCGTCAAAAACTGTTGTAAATCATGGTCATGTGACCGCAGGACAATGCAAATGGCATAAATGGGCAGTTTCGAAGTGACCAAAATGTGATCACATGACCCCAATGGGGAGCCCAGCCACTGGAACTTCAAATCCAGGTCATGAGACAGACCTCCTTTTGAGTGTGTGTGCGGGGGGGTCTATCATAACTTCAAACAGACATAAGTCAAGGACAACCTCTATATGTACATCATTTTCATGTCACACTTGACATGTCTTCACAGTTTGGCCACATCACTGCCCACTGCTTGGAGCAGGAGATCACTAATAAAAACAGACAAAAGATATTTCTCCCATCGGATTCCTTGTGCTTATATCTCTTCACATTGTAAGAACTAGTCATACTTCTTTCTACCCTAGGACTTCTAACTTGGCTTCAAAGGGCTCTGTCAAAAAGGTTTGACCATTCAATTAAACAATGGCTACATTGGTTGGACAGCACTGGTCCAGAATTGCAGTGGAGAAGGATCTAGTCATGGACTTAAATCATAGGTCTGAGATCTGCCTGAGTAGCGGCAATGAATGTCTAAAGAGTGAGGCAAGAATCTTTTCTGGCCCACTTCCTGGCCATTTTTTAACTGAGGATATTTGAATGCTATGGGTGATGCTTCCTACGTTGGATCCTCTGTGGCTCTCCACATGTAGAAGGGAGGAGCCAAAATGAAAGAAAAGTGCTAGGAGTGGACTGGTTCCTTTTTATCCAGTTTTGCAACTCGGATGACCTCCTCAAGTATAGAAATACTGTATGGTAAATTAAGCCACCCATTGAATATAAAAACTCTCTCAAATCCATGTCATGTCACGTTTGCGTAGGTTTCTTGGGGGACGAAATAATGGAAATTGTTTTCTATGGCCATATTCTAGAATGTTTCTTGATTCTGGCCTTCTTATCTTTTTTCAAGATCAGTCACAATCAGTGAGGGATTGATGTAGGATCAGTCGCTTAGCAACTGTAAGGGACTCCCAACCCAGTTTTAAAGTTTCAAATGTCGCCCACCACCATGGTCACATGACCTCATTTTGAGGACTTGGCTACCGGCCTGTATTTATAGCCATTTGAAGTGCCCCAGAGTTACATGACTGCAACTTACAACATTTTTGCTGGAAATCAGCATTTATTTACGTTTTCTGGCAAAAACTGGCCCACAACAAAAAAATAAGTTTGGTTAACCTCCGCTGTGTTCACTTTGTGGCCACATTTGCTTAAGGACTGCTGCAACAAAGGTTATAAAAACGGATCTGGTCACTTTGTGACCATTTTACAACCATCACAACTTATGATCATAATTGCCAGGCTTAATTATGGTTGTATGTCAGGGACTACTTTAATGGATGGCCCTTTTTTTGTTAAAGATATGGATGATAGATGGGGCTTAGCAGAGGAGAGCCCATCACATGGGACCCTGAATAGCAATTTCATTTACTGATTATTATTTATTGTTGTTTTATCTTGGATTGCTTTTTTCTTATAAGCTGCCGCAAGTTGCATTGTTCAGGTTGGACAGCAATATAAATTCTTTAAATAATCTTTCATTGTGTCCTGGTGGGCTTCTTCTGCAGAGGTGCCAATATTTTGAAATTATTTTCCTCTGCGCCCCCCCCCCACATTACGCCAAATTCACGAGGTTTCTGTGAACTACCTATTTGGCCATCTGGCTGTTTTCTGTGTAAATGTTGGATTAATGTTTTTATTCCTGCTTTTGTTTTTCTTCTCCCATCCCCCTTTCTTATTGCTGTATTTTGATAACCTTTTTAATTCAATAGTTTTTATTATGTATTTATACTTTCCAACTTCTTTGAGATGCTTTTTGCATAGAGTTACAAAACAATGTAAGAATCTATGAAAGCAAAAAGTTACAAGCACCAGCATAAAAATATGATATGAAGATATAGCAAGAGATAGTCCTTGACTTACAACCATTCATTTAGTGACAATTCAAAGTTACAAAGGTACTGAAACAGGTGACTTAAGTTATGACCATTTTTTACACTTATAAACGCTGCAGTAGCCCCATGGTCACATGATCAAAATTTGGCTGCATAGCAACTGTCTCGTATTTATGAAGGTTGCAGTGTCCTGGGATCACCTTTTGCAACCTTCTGAGAAGCAAAGTCAATGAGACAGTCAGATTCACTTAACAACCGTGTTATTAACTTAACTGCAATGATTCACTCTGGCAAGAAAGGTCGTAAAATAGGGCAAAACTCATTTAACAACTGTTCTTGTTTAGCAACAGACATTTTGGGCTGAATTGTTGTGGTGAAGTTGAATGATATGTACAGCTTTACTACCTTGGGTGTGGATGGATCTTCCATGTGACTTGTGAGATGGGTAGGAAAAAAAAAGATTTGCCATATTTAGAGAGCTTCTGATGCCACTTTATAACATCCTTCCTATAACACTGATACTTTTCTTTCTTGGGTCTGTCATTCCTCCAGGAGGCTTCAATAAATTCCAGGCTGAATGGCCCCATCTCTGTGAAACCAACCTGGATACAGCCAGTACCAGCAGCTCTCCTGTTCCCCCTGCGGCTCCCATCGTGGGGCTGGGAGGCCTTAGCCTAAGTTCAGATGGCTCCGATGCTGAGTCAGAGCCCCTCAGCAGCGGCATGGAGTCTGAAGGCGCGAGTCCCCCCTCCTTTCCTGTGCAGATCCTACCCAATCTCTATCTGGGATGTGCCCGAGACTCTGCCAACATGGACACTCTGGCCAAACTGGGAATCCACTACATCCTCAATGTGACTCCGAACCTCCCAAACCTCTTTGAGAAGAATGGTGACTTCCAATACAAACAAATTCCCATCTCGGATCACTGGAGCCAGAACCTTTCTCAGTTCTTCCCTGAAGCTATTGATTTCATTGGTGAGTGTCAGCAGGCTGAAGGGTAATAGTGTCACGAAGACGATGTTTGATATGACGGATTATGCGCTTATATCCTAGCAGCCCCATAGATTTCCTCCATGACGATCTATCCCTAGATCTTTTAGGCCCCCCCAATGTTGCATTCATCGCCACTGTAAAACACAAGTAGTACATTATTTTATTGGGGTACAGTGGTATTTATACAGTGTTGACTGGAGATTCTTAACACTCTGATGCTTAGATAATGTAAACCTTTAAAGTTGAAGGGGGGAAAAGAACATTTTTAAAATTTATTCATTCATTCATTTATCTCACTTGCATGTGATCCTGGATGGTGTATACAATTAAAATAGAAAGTAACAATCCAACTATTAAATGGATAACTCAACTAGTTAGATCAATTTAAAAACTATGCCAATATTAACTGTTTTCTAAAATACTAATGTTGATAAGAGTAAAGTTGCTTCAGATGTAGCACTAATAAACATTCCAAAATGCATTAAATTATTTGTTACATAATAAAGGTTCCTATCTTAAGCCTAACATTTAATACTAAAGTCTCTATTATATCATTGTAGTTGTTTATGCATATTAAAGAAACAACTTTTTTTTTAAAAAAAAAAAAAAAAAAGCTCTTTGATTTCTAACTTCCCCCTTCAAGGTTTTTAGTGTTTGTAAGCATTTAGGCCCCCTTAGAAACCAACAATTCCTCCTGTCAAACACATTATGTACACATTATGTCCTGTTCACACATATATTACTCCAGAGCTAAAAAGGTCAACTGCTGAAAATCAATTATATCATAAAGGGGCTTTGGGGGGGGGTCTTATAAGCCCAAAAGGAAGCGGTGATCTAATTTCCTAAAGCTTCTGGTCACCCTCGAACTAAATGTGTTCCTGGAAATGGAAGCCTAGCTATGCTTGTCTCTGCAGAGGAAACCCTTTATAAATAAATAACATTGTTCAGATTTCAATGATTTCTGCAAGATAATCAGTTTAAGGCTTTCTGTGGTCTCAATAATGGAGATCTCCAATAAATAACGTGGGGATTGCTGTAGTGAAATCATTTCAGTTAATAAAGAAGCTGTGATTTTTTTCCAACACAGGGTCCTTTATAATGAATTGCCAAAGTTTGTGCAAAGACCAAAACGAAGGAGATCAGGATACTTTGACTTCCAATGTACTGTATGTTACTGGCTTGTCACACTCAGAAGGCTACTCACGCTGCCAACTGAAGTTGCAGCATTAATACAGATAGTCCTCAACATATAACCGTAATGGAGCCTTGCCCATTATGGTTGTATTTTGTAACAGTTTTAAAATGTGACCAACCCGAATTTAAGATCTTTTTTTGCAGCAGTCATTAAGCAAAAGCAAATGCTGATTTTTGGTAAAACCATAATTAATCGTGGTCACATGATCACAGCATGCTGCAAAGGGGCATAAATGCGACCGTGTTGAGAAGCATTTGAAGTTCGGTCACGTGACCATGGAAGGGGGCTTCACTGCCTGAACTTGGGATCCAAATCGTAAGTCCCCTATTTTGGGTTGGTCATAAGCCAAGGACCACCTCTAATGGCATTCTTCACTCTGATTGGTTCGTCTAGCCACCAGTCATAATAAACACGCATTTCTTCCCACCCATCTCTTTCTTTCTGCCACTGGCTTGCAATCTTCTTTAGCATCAATGTTAAAAGAATCAAAAGGAGGTTTTTTTCCCCTTGCTATCAGCTGTTTCATCTTTCCCATACATTTGGATCTTGTGTCATCTTGATAATGTGTTGGTATGGCCTGCATGCTATGTAGAATATGACATCTCAGTATTAATGTTTAGCAATTAATATGAATAAGCACAGTGAATTATTGTTAAAGGCTTTTGCTCAGCTAGAAAGGTATTTCTGGATGGTTAACAAAATGTAATATGCACCTACCAAATCCATTTGTGACTACTGGACAGTATCACAGCAAGGTGTTCTACCACTCTCATTTCAAACCAGTTTTTGCAATATGGATGTGGCTAGGTTGATTATGAACTTGAGGTCTCCTTTTTGCCTCAACTGTGAAAAATCTTACTTCGTCTGCCTTGGTGATTTCTTATACCCCAGGCACAAAGGTGGGAAAATGCAAAGTCATACAAAAAGCTGTTTCTTTCAGCTCAGAAACATGTCACAGAAATAAAGATGTGTTATTTCATTTCTCCAGCTCAGTGTTAACAAATTTCACTTGCCTTAGATATGGCAGCCCTTTGCGTATGATTGCATCCACTTGACACTCTATCCCTTTATCTCTTTGTCAGATGAGGCCCTTTCTAGGAATTGCGGCATTCTGGTGCACTGCTTGGCAGGGATCAGTCGCTCAGTCACCGTCACTGTAGCCTACCTCATGCAGAAGCTCAACCTGTCTCTCAACGACGCCTATGACCTAGTGAAGCGAAAGAAGTCCAACATCTCACCTAACTTCAATTTCATGGGGCAGCTGCTGGATTTTGAGAAGTCCCTGGGGCTTAACCAGGGCAGTCGGCGGCCAGCCTCAGACCAGACCTGCTTCTTCACCTCACCAACCCATGACAGTGTCTTTGAGCTGGATCCTACGTAGGAACCAGAAGGGTGCTACGTTTGTGTCATGGCCACCAACACCTCCTGTTCTTGGTTCTATCTGCCTGTCCTGGTGGCAGAGGCTGCTGGGACCAACGGAATACCTCACGCTAGAGAGGGAGGTGCCTCTTTCAGGAACAACTGCTACTTCCAGCAAAGGTTCTCATTGCCTTTTGGGTTTTCTGAAATATCAACAGCAATGGTGTCCTTACTGATCTCACAGTGAGACTGACAGGGCCACACCAATAACCAAAGACTCTTTCTCCTCCTCCCTTTCTCCCAAGAGCCCTGTACAGACCAAGAAACCAACACTTTTCGGGGGGGGGGGACGCTATTTCTGGAATGTTGGATCTGGGCATTATAGCATCTTGAACTTCATCCAGATCACCCTCTTTTAAAATTTAAATATTTCAAATGGAAAATGTCAGGGCTGGAACCTGCCAATTATTAATGATGCTGATCACATATTGAAGGTTTTGTGGTCTCCTTGTGTTTCTCCTCCAGCCATTATGCAGAAATTAGGCAGAGACCCGCAGTCTCTCATAAGAATCTTCTGCAGGCAGGACTTTTGGCAGATAATAGTGCATTCACCAGCTGATATGTTAAGTTCCCACTCCCAATACCTCCAGTGAACATGGCCAGATGATGACCTCTGGTGTGCTCTTAACTAATGAAGGCTTCTCTAGAATCATTTCTTTCTGTCTGAGAAGTGAGATGCAGGAACATAATTCTAACATGGTTATCCTGGAATGACTAAAAATATCTTATAGAAAATTTAATGCAGAGTCCTGATTTTAGAAATGAGACCACAGAACTTCCCAGATCTCTCTTGTTAAGACCAGGATGAATCATAGAATTGAAGAATCAGTGTAGCAACTTATACAAACATAACTTCTGGAGATATTTTAAAGAACCTAGATCCTGTGGTATAGGAACTGCAGAAATGGGTTTGAGAATCTGCAGCTTTTACATTTTTTTATGCTAGGCATTTATATCACCAGAACAGACTGCAAAAGTTCCAGTTGTGGGACTCTTTAAAATCTCCAGAGCTGTATTCCAGGTCCAGAATTGGAGCAGGTTCAAACGTTTGTATGATAACCGTAACTTTCCCATTATTTCCAAAGCTGTAAGTGTTCTCATCCCTAAAGCACCTCATTCAACCCCCTGCGGTTCGTTCAGGATTTAGGCAGAGGGAAATAAAAATGGTGGGGGAGAAGCTTTGGAACAGAATCACAGTGGGAAGACATAAGTATTAGAAGCAGAAATATTGGTGTTACACAACCCAGTCCTTGGCTGTGGGAGAAAATAGAGCAGCTCTGCATTTTGTATCTGTACTTGTACAAATGATGAGTTGTATGTGTGCCTTAATGCTTGCATGAAAGCAAAAAGACCTGTGGATGTGTGTACTAGGCATTGTTTGCGTAGTACCTGCCTGCAAGGGTTAATGTGTGCCCACGTTTTATTCCCCAAATTTCAGTCAGGACCTTTTCAGTATTTTTGAGCTCAATTTCAGGATCCTATGAGTTCATAATAAAAAGATAAAACCTCTTGAGCATTGTAGGTGGAAAAAAATGTGTTACAGATGTGTTTCTTAACAGAGTTTATTAGGAAGAAAACTGCAGACTTGGTGATTTCAAAATTTTCAATAATTATCTAAAATTATTAACCGCTATGTGTACATGATATGGTCCTTGTGGGCATGCTTAAAAGATGTCCAAGGTGTTCTAGTGATCTGCATTTTTTATTTTAGCTCTGTTTAGGCACCCTGCCTAGTAGTCCACAGGAATCCAGAAGAACATTTTGTCTGCAAAATTAACATTTTCTCAATGTTTTACTTCCTTTTTCAGGATTTTTCTGGCCTTTGAGGCTATGAAGATATATGCCTAGGGGCAATGCTTGCTGAAATAATTTGAAATTGCTGTTAAGTGAGATTGGGAAATGTGGGGTTTCAGTGCCCTGCAACACCTTACAGGTTTTTCCCTCCGATGAAAATAAATTAGAATAAATTATGCAAAACAGTCAAACTGGCCAACTATTATGCAAAATGACTCTTATGCAAATCTGACCAACTAGCACAATTCCAGGGGGTTGCAGTATTCAGGTTTGCTTACAGTTTTGGTTTGCCTGAACCATGAACTTTTATGTTAACTGTCCATGCAGGTAACACATAGCTCTGGCTTCCTGCATGCTCCAAAAAGTCAGCTTGAGTCTCTGTCCGAGGTCTCTGTTTTCAAGTGAATGTAAATGACTGGAGATAGAAGGGAGGGGGGTGGAACTGCCATTACCATGGACAACAACAACAGTTATTTTAATAAAGCAGGACTTTAAACAACACAAACAAGTGTGGATTTATTGGGAGACCTGAAGATGACACAGTCTTGAAGTAGCCCCTGGCTGTTTTGCATTAATTACAGACACTAGTGTAGAATTAGAAACCTTATTATATTTGTGTGTAGGCACTGTGCGAGAGGAAAAAAACAGCCACTTTCTGCCAGCTCCCTGAATCTGAGGGGGCTTCCAGAGGAAGTTTTTACTGGGCAATCAACCTTGCCTTACAAAAGAAATGTTATGAGCTCGGAAGCTTATCTGCTATTTGTAGCCAATTGCAGCTACTTTTTGTTTGCCCTTCACAGCAACAAAATACCCACTAATGGTATAAAAACAGAACAGTTGCAGGAATTGGGTATGCCTGGTGCAGGGGTAGGCAACCTTGGCTCTTTTATGACTCGTGGACTTCAACTCCCAGAATTCCTAAGCCAGCTGGCTCAGGAATTCTGGGAGTTGAAGTCCACGAGTCATAAAAGAGCCAAGGTTGCCTACCCCTGGCCTAGTGAAAAGGACTAGGAGTGACATGATAGCAGTGTTCCAATATCTCAGGGATTGCCACAAAGAAGAGAGGGGCAACCTATTCTCCAAAGCACCTGAAGGCAGGACAAGGAGCAATAGATGGAAACTAATCAAGGAAGGAATCAGCTTAGAACTAAGGAGAAATTTCCTGACAGTGAGAACAATTAACCAGTGGAACAGCTTTCCTTTAGAAGCTGTGAATGTTCCATTACTGGAGGCTTTTAAGAGACTGAACAGCCACCTGTCTGGAATGGTATAGGCCGGGTCTCCCGCTTGAGCAGAGGATTGGACCAGATAGAAGACCTCCAAGGTCCCTTCCAGCTCTTTTATTCTGTTAACTTCACCATTCTTTCTGATTCACAGCAACGAAGATCTTGTGAAAGGAAGTTTCTCTCCAAATCATTTATTGCAGTTTCACAAAATCAGTTTTAAAAAATGGAAGGTGCCACAGTCTCATAAAATTTGGGAATCCTGTGAGATTTGAGGCTTATGAGAAATGGCACCCAGCATCTGAGAAGGTTGCTAAACATTTTATAACCAAGTCACAAGATTCAGTGGTAAACTTGGTGACTGAAATAATAAATATAGGAAGCGCCTAGCATATAGAACAGTGTATATAATAATTAAAAGGGAGTATATCATCAATAGCCTTAAAAAAAGAATTGACAGTTGACATAGTAACTTATATTCCAAAATAACCTTTTCACCAGGAAGCACAACAGCCAAGGAAATTGTATTAGTCCACAGGAAGCAATAAAGTTATAATGGTAAACTCAAAGAAGGACAAACTCAAAAATCTACGAAGTTTTGGTTAACCTTTCAAGTTTGCCAGATCTTTTCATCAGAAATGACGTTGCCAACTGCAACAAAGTGGGAATGACGTAAGGGGAGGAGGGGATGGGAAAAGGCCGACTTGATACTGAAAATGACTTGATTAGAGTTTTAAAAGAGAATCAAGAAACATGTTCAAAAAATCTCATTAGACAGTATCATAAAGTTATGGCTGAGACTCCCATAATAATGTTCTCAGTTTTAAAAAATGTAATACCCATTGGGTTACTTGGATTTATTTCCAGAAGCAGCTGTAAGTGGTAGGTTACGGATACCCAAAACAGATCAGGATACTGTAGATGTTTGCATAAAATGTGTGTATGCTGAGATAAAGATATATATATTCCAAAACTGAAAGATAAGCCAAATTTGGAGAAAAATCACTATTCTGGTTGGTTTTGTGCAGAACCAAAGATGCCAACTTGCTCCTTGCCAGATGCAGCAAAATAAATTTTAGCTGAAACTCTTTGTTCAAATTGCTTGGATCCTTGACTTCCATGGAGGAGAGCGTAAAAATTGAGTGCCATTATCCTTCCAAAATTTTCCCTCACTGACCCTCCCAGAGTGATATAGGATTGTCATTCAAGATGATGCTGACCTCCCAGAACATTCTTTTCTTGGCAGAGAGAGGGACCTTCCGGAAGATGCCATTCCTAACAACAACTTCCTCCAGGAAGATGGTACTTCTCTGGATTTTCAGCCACTTGAGTGGGAGAAAGGAACAGGATGTTACACTATGGGTTGATGCAGAGTGTGTGTCTTTGGGTCCCATGACATCCCATCATGTCTCTGTTTTCAGATCTCTGTCTGGCAGTCAGTTACCCTTCTGCTCTTCCACCTTTTGATCTTGGAGAGGGGCCTGATCCTGTTCCAGGCATCAAACCTCAAACAGAAAAGCCAGTTCCCCTTTTCAGTTCAGTGCTCACCCAAGCTTCCTTCCCTGGTTCTCCTCACTCTTCCCATCTGTGTCTGCTGCATGTCTTTTGGCTTTTTATTTATTTATTTATGTATTTATTTTTTAAAACAACCCTCTCTCTTCCACTCTGTTGCTTAGTAACTGGTCTCTTTTCTGTTCCAAGAAGAGGGTGGAGTGGGAGGAAAATTAGTTCTAATCCTGGAGGATGTCCATATTGGACATTCCCTCCCTCTACCTATTTTCTTTCCTTTGTTCTCCCCCTTCCTCGGGAGGAACAGGGCCATGGCCATGAAGGCTTCAGAGCATTTTCAGCACCCACATTGTGCAGGAGATAGAGTCAACAAGAACTGCCGTGGCATTGCCCAAGTGCTTATTCCACCAGATTATAGTGGGACAAACTCCCACGTTTAAAAATAAATAAATAACCATGTGAGAAAAACAGTACCCAGCAGATTCAACAGCTAAACCCACTGCTCACTGTGAGGCAAATGTAATCCAAGAGGCCCCACCTGGTAAAGAGCATAAGGCAACCAAGAACATGGATTTGAAAATTCATCTATCAAAGATAAAGCTAAATGCACCAGACACAATGAAACTGACAGGGAGTTGAGAGTCGGCGTTATATAAATACCATAAATAAATAACGTGATGTAAAATTTTTTAGGTAAAACATCCATGGCAAAAAATCTAGTTCAAATAGATGAATACTGTATGTGTGCCTTGACAGAACATTTATGAAACATAACGGGAAAGATTGGAGACATTTTAAGATGTGCAAATGCTGACAGAGAGGTAACTTTGATATATGAACTGTTGCAAGAAATGAATATTTGCCAAAAGAAGTGAAAACAGCTATTAAGACAGTGATTCTGCCTATCTATTTTTTATTCTATAGTATTCAGAGTTGGGTGCGTCACAAAAGTAAGTCATCTGCAATGAGAAGGCAGCACTTGGGTGTATGAGATGAAGGAAGAAGAGGTAGGTTCAAGTATGAATGGATAGTGCATGAGCTTGGATTTAATGCAAAACTGGGAGGAAGGAAGTAGGTGATGGTTTGGTCAAGTAGAAAAAAGGGAAATGAATATATGATGAAAGAGTGAACGGATCAAGAGGAAATTGTGATTGGGTAGAGTGAGTGACATCCTCAACCAGAGGTGAGAAGTTTCAAGAGCAACAAGCAGTGTGTGACGTGATGTGGGGGAAACAAGGACCATTGCAAGATTATAAAGCTATGGAGAGGTAGAATGGGGTTGGTGTAAACTGGTTTTAGAATTCACACCTTTAATTTCTTGGTTCTGCTAGTTCTTACCCGTTTTCTGTGCTCTCTACTCTCCCAAAGGAATGATATGCTGAATACTGTATATATCTATGGATCTATAAATGTAAACAACCATAGTACAGGTAGTTCTTGACTTACAACAGTTCATTTAGTGACCTTCAAAGTTACAATGGCACTGAAAAAAAAATGTCTTGTGACAGTTTTTCATACTTATGACCATTGCAGCATGGCAAGATGGTCACATGATCAAAGTTCAGATGCTTGGCAATTGTTTCATATTTATGATGGTTGCAGTCTCCTGGGATCATGTGATTATCTTTTGCACCCTTCTGACAAGCAAAGTCAACGAAGAAGCCAGATTCACTTAAAAACTGTGTTACTGACTTAACAACTGCAGCGATTCGCTTAACAAGCGCTACAAGAAAGGGGGGAGGGCAAAGCTCACTTAACAAATGTCTCACTTAGCAACAGAAATGTTGAACTGAATTGTGGTCATAAGTCAAGGATTATTAGTATTGCAACAGCTGGAGGAACTTCCCAGCTTTCCATCATCCAAATGTATGAAACTGCAACACCTAGAAATTCCCCATAATAAGGAATGGGGAATCATAAAATGCAATAGACTAAAGACAGTTGAAGAGAGTGCCAGCTTTGAATAGGAAAATGGAAACCTTTTGTCCTGAATCTTTATGGATGGGACCAGCCCTGGGCTGTGAATTCCAAATATATGGAGAATCATAGCATTCTGTACCATTAAGGCAGCTTGGGAGAAACTGGCATAGTTCCATGTTTGTCATTATAAGCTTCCCAACTGAGGTGTAGAGATTCTGAGCTGGCTTCAACAACAACGCCACAAATGCTGTGTGTCTCCATCGAAGGCTGCATTTCTGCTGTATCTCTATTAAAGAGATAGGAACTCCAACCGGAAAAAATAAAAGCTGCAGCCCTCATAGGGATTGAGAGAACTAGCTGTCCCGGGGTCTCTCGGCCTCTCTCTTCCACACGCACAGTTGTGGTTCTCTGGCTAGAAGCTTCCGTTCCCACCACCACCCTTCCCCTGTTTGCAGCCCTTTCCTGCAAGCTGTTTCCGAGGGATTAATTCACTCACTTTTCTTCCTGTTCGAGGACAGGAAGGGCAGCTTCCTATTCAGAGGAGATTGCTGTCGCCTTAGTGGTCATTCTTATTCTTTCTCTGTTATTGTATGCTGTGTGCTTTAGTCCTTATCATCTGTCAACCCCTCTGCTCCCAAATGCTTTTGAATACAGGATATTCAATTTTTTACAGGTGGAAACTTTATAGATTTGCCCTAATGGCTCTTGTAAGCTGGAGATCTCCTTCAGTGGACCTAAGACCAAATTATGTAACAGTTGCCTTGTTTATCCTGCCGTACAAAGAGTAGCATGAAAGTTCTCCCTTGATCAGATGCTATCCCTACCACAATCCTGCATGATTTCTTAGTC